GACGTATCCCAAGGAATCCAGCGCGAAGCTACCCTACATTTTTGCAGAGATTGTGATCGATGGCTTCTGCCTCCCTCCAGTTGGATTGTTGCGGCTCTCGAGTCAAGAGAACTCCTCGCTCTTTGCCTGAAGAAGCTACGGGGTTTACACAAAGTACGGATTATTGATGCAAGTTTCATTTGGACGGAACCCCATTCTCGCAGAGTAAAGGTCAAGCTCACGATCCAAGATTCGGTCTCTGAGGGAGTTGTGCTGCAGCAGGCATTTGAGGTGGAATATGTCGTCGCATACCAGCAATGTCCCGACTGCGCGAAATCCTACACTGCAAATACCTGGAGAGCTTGCGTCCAAGTCCGACAAAAGGTCCCACATAAGAGAACTTTCCTCTACCTCGAACAACTCATTCTCAAGCATGGCGCACACAAGGACACAATCAATATCAAGGAAGTGAAAGATGGGCTGGATTTCTACTATGCTGCACGAAATCAGGCTGAGAAATTTGTCGATTTCCTGAACTCCGTGGCGCCGGTCCGAAGCAAAAAATCCCAAGAACTGATTTCGATGGATATTCACACTTCCACAAAATCATACAAATTCTCATACTCCGTCGAACTGGTCCCTATCTGCAAAGACGACTTGGTGGCGATACCCATAAAGCTCGCAAAGCAGATTGGGAACATCTCTCCTCTTGGACTTTGCTACCGCGTTGGCACAACCGTCAACGTTCTAGATCCCGCAACGCTCCAGACGGCAGATATCAGTACACCAATTTACTGGCGTGCTCCGTTCACATCTCTTGCTGATGTTCAGGAATTGACAGAATTTATTGTTATGGATATCGACCTGCTTGGACCACAGAAAGGAAGATGGGCTCTGGCTGAAGCAACTGTTGCTCGCGCCTCAGATCTCGGATCCAACGATAAAACATACTACACCCGCACACATCTTGGCAACGTCCTGCACCCGGGAGACTCTGTGATGGGATACCTACTTACCGGCACAAACTTCAACAATCCTCAATTCGACGCTCTTGAAGAATCCCACACATACTCATCACAGATACCCGACGTCATGCTCGTCAAGAAGTTCTACGCAAGAAAGAAGAAAGCGAAGAACCGTAACTGGCGCCTCAAGCGTATGACCAGGGACGAGGGCGATCTACTTCCGAAGAAGTCCGACCAGGAGCGTATGGATAAGGATTACGAGATGTTCTTGCGGGACGTTGAGGAGGATGAAGAGCTTAGACAGACGATGGCCCTGTACAAGGCTCAACAGCAACAGAAGATCGATGCGGAGGCTATGAGCGTTGTGGAGACTGATGATGGTGAAGACGAAACTCCACATATTGATATGGAAGAGTTGCTGGATGAGTTCGATGAATTAGCCGTTACGGACAAGTAGTTGGCTTCGGGATATGCATCGGTACTATTGGCGTTTGGTAGAAAAAGGTGTTGGTCAGGGTTATTTCAGCATTTGGGTGTGAATACTGAGATGCTTGCTAGATGGATAGCGCCTAGCGATATGCAATCTTTACGCAGTCCAACATTTCCAATCTTTTCCTATAATTCAGCGCATGTTTCGTTCATCGTGCAAGAATGCCCTGCTCTAGGGAACCGAATCAATTTCAATTCTCTTCCACACTTGTAAGCTTTAGGCATTTTTCATCATTCTACTGACATGCATTTGACGCATAGAGGGGTCTACGTGCGGAGAACAATAATCCTTCGCTTGCATGGGAGACCAGCCTCCAACTTCCACCCCGCCTCCTATTCTCATCGCCAAGCACTACTTGGCGTTTCAACAACCCGCGATGCCTTCGTTTTCGGGTCTCGAAATTTTTCATATAATCTACAGAAAACGACTATGCATCCGCACCCGCTGTCAGTGTGTTGTTAGTTTAAGGTTCCGGAGCTGATAACCTAGAAAGAATCCAAGGCTAATCTCCGTCCTGTCCTTCAGATAAACACTTCATCCCAAGTACCAGGTCACGAAACATTAGTACGCTGTATAACACCTATACTATGATTGAGATCATAAAGTTGAACAAGAAGAGAGCGAGTGCTTTTGAGTACTCTTCAACCTACCTTTCATTTCTGCAACTCGTTGAGAGTGTTCCATTCGTTCATTTTTCATTCTCATATCCACTCGTTTACCATGCATTCTTTCACACTCTTTTCTCTTGCGGCTGGTGCCGTGCAGGCTTATACCGTTGTCGTTGTTGACAAGTTCATGACCAAGAATATCGACCCTGTTGTTATGCCTGGCCAGTATAAGAGTCACCTGCATACTTTCTTCGGTTCCGATGCGGTGAATCTAAATACCACTACTTCCAAAGAACTCCAGACAGGATGTACGACTGCTCGGAATCCTAACGACTTCTCATCTTACTGTAAGTACAAAAGTTATCGAAACATTCAGACTCTGAACTGATAGTATAAAAGGGGTTCCAACACTCCTCTACGTCTCCGGAACAACCAACACACCCGTCCCTTTTACCAGCTTCTCCGCCTACTACGTCGATATTGACCAGGCCGAGATCGCCATCCCGCAAGACTACAAAATCGTAGTCGGCAACTCCGCCGCAAAATCCCAAGCAGACGTCAGCGACCTCGCGGGCATAGAATGGTGGTGCGAAGGCGACCCCGCCGAAACAGGCAAAGACAAAGCCGCCTTCCCCTCCAAGACATGCTCGACACACTTGCAAACCCTGCTGCTCTTCCACGACTGCGTGAATCCGGAGACGCTTGAATCAGCGTATTCAGGGACGCAGAATTGGAAGGAGGGGTTCAAGCCGGCGAATAGATGTCCGGCGGGCATGAAGAGGATGCCGAGATTGAGGTTCTCGATTCGCTATGATTTGAGGAAGATTGTGCCGGGTGGTTGGAGTGGGGAGGCGCCTCTCAAGTAAGTACCAAGCCAGTCTCAGCTTTGCCCTGTATATCTCGCAAGTTGCAAAAGCCGTGGATAGCGTGTGCTGACTTCATACCAGACTAGCTTGTGGCCCATCATACTGCACGCATGGAGACTTCATCAACGGCTGGCTCCCAGAATCAGCAGAGAACATGTTACTGGCAAATTCGAAGAGAGATTTTGCGGCCGTCTCAGGTCCTCTGGGCGAGCAAGACAACAAAGTAAAGGCGCCTTGCAAAGCGCAGGATGCCGATCCTGGGAATGGAGCATCGACTTACGAGGCCAGTCTCACATTTATGTAGGTGTCTTTCACAGAGGGGTATTAAGGAAACCGATGCAGCTCATCTGGTAACGCCAGATCGTTGTGGTTCGTCGCTATGAAGATTGTATTGCGATGAGGAAGAGGTCGATGCTGGTGTATCTTCTGCAGCCAAGTTATCTGCCTTTGTATTATTAGCAAACTTTATGCCCCCTCTGGAAAGAGTAAATATGACAACTCACACCGTTACATACCGCGGCCGTGCTCCACAATACTCGCTCACCTGTCAAGAACCGTCTTTGGCCTGGCTAGCCGTGATAGCGAGGCTAGCCTGGCGAGACCCAGCCGAGCTGCGCAATATTGCTCCCTCGGGCGCCACCTCACGACGTTCCAAGTCACATATTCCTTTCGCTACACGGAGACTGTATTATTTACGTGGAGACATATTTGCAAGTTCATGTCCAGAGAGCGTTGTGGCGCCGATCTTGGTCGTGCGCTGAAGTGGCAGTTTAAGCGAGAATCGGGACAACGACAGAGAAACCTTGCCTGGTTATCTCCGCTGGGAATTTGGTAACCACTTGGATAGGCAGACCTGTCTTATATGAGTGAGAGCTTGCTGATATACAATAGTCTTCATGTTAGACTGACTCCCGGCGCAGATTCAGAGGTCAAGGTTTGTTTACTTTGTCAAGATACCCTGTTCCAATTGCGACATGATGCTGCGTTTGCTTTTCTTAGGTGACTGTTACGGATGGAACCCGAATTTGTATCTAGTAGGCTGGGCAGAACACAGTAAAGACCGGACTGGACTGATTGAGAGCTTTGAGCTGAGGCCCGATTTCAACACTTTGGTTGGGTTCTTCTGACCAAGTCTGCAGATCGCAAGAACTGTGACGGATCATTTTGGATGACTTGAGAGGAAATATCTCGCCAGAACAGCCTGAGCCCCAGCCTCGCCATCATACTCCTCACCCTCTTACCCCTCGCCGACGCCATAACCGGCAGAACCGCGGCATCACCACTCCATTCACACACACACTCACCTTCCCCATCCATCCAGCAGCCCACGCTCACACATCCATATCTACCGAAATACGCAATTTTCCCCCTCGCATTCCCGCCCTGCACACGCCACATTCCGCGAAACAATATCACCAATTTATCCCCGCCGAAAGCCCTTTGCATCTCAGAGTGGAGGCCCAACGTTCTTAGCTCAAGCAGAATTTGCCCCTTGCCCGATGTTCGAAGGGTATGTAACGACTGGGGCCCTTGATACCTAAGAACCGGCAGATTTACGAGACGTTAGAGAATTAAAATTAAGTCATTATTAAATTACTAAGTTATTATCATACTCAGAAAGAAGCAGAATCCTGAAGAAGGGTTTGTTCTCTCGCGAGGTGCGCGGGAGTTTCTTTTGCTGTTCTTGCCTCCTGGTGAGTGAGTTCTTTTAGTTGTTACAGCCTTAGTTGGATAACAGTGATGTGTATCCTTGTTATTTCTTTGGAACTTTTCCGCTTTGTTGATTTTGCGTCCGTTGAGGAATGGGTGCCGTTAAGCGAGGCAGGCCGTCTTTGTCAACAATATGCAATGCACAAGCTATGCAAATGAACTTCCGCTGCCTGCGCTGTGGAAGCATTTCACTTCAGATCGATGTATCCATCTCATGTGCTGTGACATCGTAAAACAGTGATGAAGTTCCTAGACCTGCTGTATCACCTGTATGTCTCCTCCGAAATTGAAGCGTCACCGCACCTTTAAGTTTCCACATATTCGATTTCACTACCGTCTTCATCTATCCAAATACCCAATCTCCTGACGTCAGATGAAGAAATCCGGAATGGTGTAGTGGTTAGCATTTCTGCCTTTCAATCTCCTGTCTGTCCAACAAACAAACAGTGAAAGCTCGCAGGAGACCGGGGTTCAATTCCCCGTTCCGGAAGAACATGTATTATTTTTTCTTTTGTCAGGTTATCGACGATCACAAGCTGATGGATCCTGGGAAGTCTCGAAAGGCATTTTGCAACTAACATCATTAAGTAGAGGATAAGCACAAAGTAGGGCAGTTGTATACGACTTTTTATTACCCAACTCCACCACATCTCGGTTTCCTCTCCAATAGGTATGTACAATAAATGCGACTCCCAAACAAAACGCTCACAGAATTAGCAAGGGTATGATTGAACGAACATTTTCGCAAAGTATCCAAAGTTCCAGCACTTCATTTCATCATCGGCTTCGTCGTCATCATCACCACGTAATTCGCAACGCGAGCATTGAGGTAGCTGTAGGCCCAGAGATCTACAGGATCCCACTCAATATTAGCGTGCAAACCGACTTCCAGAACATGTCCAGCGTGTAGCCATGCGTCCAATCAGCCAGCATTGTTCCTCATCTGCGCATCTTCCACAGCTTGATTCCAATCCGCTTTCCAAATAAAGTATCCCTCAGCAGCAGCAACCCTGTATCAAGTCAGCACTCATCTCCAAGAATGTAGGAAAAGGCGAAAACTTACAGCCCTAATGCAAGTGCAACGCCGCTCCAAAGACCCTCCAACTCCCAATCCATCGCAAAAGCCGTATAGAACGAGATCGGCATCGCAATAACATAATAGCAAAACAGGTTCACCCACCCCCCAATCTCTTGTCTTCCAAGACCTCTCAGTAGACCATTACAGTTGGCGGCTAGAGCGTCAAAGAGTTGGAATGCGGCACAGAGAGGCATGACGCGTGCGACAAGGTCGGATACGCCTTGGTCATTGGTAAAGAGTTGGGGGATGAGGTTGCGAAGGGCGGAGAGAAGAATCACGTTGAATACTCCGATGAGAGTCGCGGTTATCATGACCTAAGGAAATATCAGTAATGGCCATATGACATAGAAGTTCGGGGAGTAACTCACCACTTTGGCGCTTGTCTTCGCAGCGTCGCTGAGAGTGGCTCCAATCAAATTCGCGATACGAGTCGAGGCTGCAATGGAGGTCGAGAATGGAATCTGAAAAGTCATGGCGGTGATGGTACTCAAGACACTCTGCGCAGCCAAATGCGTAGTGCCGAAATAGCTTGCTGCGAGCGTAAGGATTTCGAAGGCGAGGTATTCTGCTTCAACCATGAGCAGACCCGGCAATGCAAGCTTGATCATTGGGCCTATCCATATTAGCGTTCAGCTCAGTGCGTCATCGTTACATGTCGATACATACCCCAGTTATGGAAAGCCTTCCAAGTAAAGCCATTCCAACACTGTCTCCCATCCACGAACCTCACATACAAGAACAAGAGAATAGGCAGAAGGTTGTCCGTTACAGCCACTGCAATTGGGGCTCCAACGAAGCCCCAATCGAAATGCCAAACAAATAGCCAATTCATGAAAGCGTTCAGAGGCGCCGCAACCAGCAGCACATAGGTAGTCGCGGAAAAGAGGCCCTGCGCCTGTACAAAGCGCTTCCCACTCTCGAAGCAAGCGTATCCTGGTGCGCCAAAGAGTAGAATCCGGAGATAAAGTCCAGCGAACTCTGCAGATTCTTTCTCAGGAACCATCTTCTCCAGTATCTTCTCGGCAAGTAGCCAGAGTATGCCAATAGGAATTGTCAGTATCCAAAGGAAGTAGACCATCCTCTGTAGTTGCAGTCCAACGAGATGCTTCTTCCCGCTCCCATAAGCCTGCGCGCACAGCGTGTCCAGACTCGTAGCCAATCCTTGATATATCGCATACCCAGAAATATTCGCAGTCATGCTAGCCAAACTGACTGCGCCGAGTTCTACCTTCCCAAGATGCCCGACAGTAAAGATACTGGCGACTGGTAGAGAGTACTGAAGTACGAAAGTGACTACCAGAGGACTAGAGTATTTCCACAGCGTCTTCGCTTCTCGCTGCCATGTCGTCTTGATCTTCCCCGACGCAACAGCTGCTTCCCACTGAGCATTCAACCTCTCGTGCCTGGTCCTCGCAGATTCCGGCACACCATCTCCCAGCAACGCAGACGATTCCGAAGCTCCTACAATCGATGTGGGGTCTGCAGCGTCCGCCTCCTCGTCTGCCACTGGTTTCGGTCTCCTTGGGCTGAATAATCGTTTGTACAACCGACTCAGGGCACTTCTTTCTTTGGGTTCAGGGTGCTTCGGCGGAGCGAGATGATTGTCCCTTAACAGACTCCTCTCCTCATTTCTGACTGCCTTCTTCTCCTTCTTTGTCAAGTAATTTGGTTCTTGGAACTGTTAGGACATTTCACATTAGTGACTCCTTTCAATGTGGAATTTGACACTTTTGACATAACTCCGAAAATACCATTCACGACCTTTTCAAGGAAGTTGAAGTTTTCAAAAGAGAAAGAAAGAGTCAACTCACCTGTGGCGTCACAGCACCCCTCGTCCCTCCAAAGGCCACAAAACTCGGCCTCCTATACGAATTGGCCATAGAATGCTGCACCGCCTCAGGGCGCACCGTCGACGCCTCTGAAGAATCATCTTCCGAGCTTACATCCCGACTCTCGGGAGGTTCCACCTCATCATCATCGTCGCATTCCTCGAGGTCTCGTGCGATGGACTCCTGAGCCAAAGGCGAGCCAGGCAGGAAGGATCCCGAAAGGTAGGAATTGCTGAATGGTGATCGCCCAATCGAGTGCCGACTGGGCTGCTTCCTGATCGGTCGAGCAGAACTCGACATCTTGAAGAATGGGGGAGGGGAGGCGCGTAGAGGTCAGGGTCTTTTGTCAACAGCTGCTGAGGTTGGATATATCTATTCCACAACACTCAGCAGTGAGTAGAGCCACCGCTCACAAAGGCGCAAGAAAGCAAGATGTGCCAATTGAGTAGATTCCCAAGAATTATATAACATGGAAGAAGTATCAACAGAGAAACAGAAGAAAGAAAAGGGACGGAGAAGTGAGCGTTGCATAAAAGAAGCCGGACCGTTTCCCCACCAGAGCTCTCCGCCTCTCTTTCTAATCGCCCCAGGACTAACCCCTCCAAGTCTAGACCAATAGATAAGGGCCTGTCTGAAAGAGGAGCGTCTAACCGACGGTGAGTGAGAGTGAGTCAAGATTGGATGAGAAAAGACATGGGAAACTTGTACTTATGGTAAAGGAGGCGAAAGTTGCATGTGTGGTAGTACAATTCATAATAGTTGTACGCGTTAAAGTAAGGCTCACAGCATTTGAAGTTGGACGAGGTCCATGTACAAAACATGAGCTTGAGGAACATGCGGATTGCAAGGATGGGACGAAAAGATGTGCGGCCGCTTCCGAGGCATCATCCACAGTTAAAGCTCCAGACAAAAAGAGGGCCAACTTACTGCACATAGAGGATAATTTTGCGTTGACAAATGTGGCAGATAAAGAAACTGGGTACAATTCTGTAAAACCTGTGAGTAAATCCAGAATATACCATCTCCACAACCTCCATCATGTCGTGAAAGGAAAAGAGTAAGTACGGAAGTTCAATCCGAGAGAAAGGGACCCTTGAAACAACTACGGGAACCTACATGCGGTCAGCTTTCAACACAAACACGCAAAAACCGAGAACAAGCATTGGCAAATGATATCACCGGATCACAAGAGTACGCAAGAAGTCGGAAGCTCAGCATCATTTGTATATTCTTCAACATCCTCGACAGGGTGGTTCCCCGTTTCTTTTCGAATACAAGGACGAGACTGAATCTCATGTATCTACTATGCCTCTTGCAGGCGCATCAGACGATGAGGAGGAAGTAGGACGACGGAATTCTTACAGTCCGTTCGGAATCCCTCTACGATTTACGCCCGTGAATGTTCCCCAGTGAGTGTTATCCTCTTATCTTGTATATACTCTTGGGTGGACATTGGACGAGACTCGATACATCACAGAAGAGGCGGAATGATCGCCTGCCGCTGATGCTGGGAATTGGACCGCGGGGCAGATGAGAAATATACAGACCTGCAGCGGCACGAGGATTAGGAAGCTTATCCTGGAGACCTTCGAGAAGTGCTTGCAGACGACCAAAGGAATTCGAAGGGGAGCTCGAGACGAAATGTTACGGGAAGAAGAGACGAAAATATACGAACTGTACTGACAGAACCTCCCTTTATACAGAAACAACTACTCCTCAATCTTCTGCGTACCCCCCTTCTTCGGCCCCCTCCTCTTCGACAACACCGACAGCGACGCTCGCGACCACTGCGCCAACGAACGAAGTACTTCCCTCCTCTCCCACCAGCCCCTCCCCTCCCCT